TGCCTATCGCTCCTCGTTATAATTCTCCTTATATATCTTAATTAGACGATTCCTCCTTTCGCGTCCCGACTCCTATAGGCCAGGTAAGTTTTTAGTGGGGAAAAAGCGATTAAATAATACCAAACAGGAACTATAGGTGGCTAAAAATTCAATAAACAAAAAAAGATTAGTGCCATGCTGACAATAAATGTTCTTATAATAGATAAAGAAAGGCTGAATGATAAATACATGTATTGCTGATAAAATAATACATGTGTCCGCGCTGCTCAAGACAGTCTCATTCTTAATTTTGTAAGCAACACAGAGGTCAATTTGGCAATTAAGGGATGTTCTATTCCCTCTGGATTTGCCCAGCGAGCCATGTTCGGTTTGTCCTCGTACGAAGTTCCGCCAAAGATCTTTGGTAGTAGTAGTAGTAGTAGTAGTAGTAGTAGTAGTAGTAGTAGTAGTAGTAGTAGTAGTAGTAGTATAACGTTTGAAATAACACAGCGTGCGCGGCGAACTGGTTAAGGCGTTTTGCCCTTCTACATAGAAGATGTCAATGTGAGTTCGATGCCTATGCGTGAGGGGAGGTTTTTAACAAGCATCTCTGTCTGTTGGGAGGTATCATCTGCGGCTCAGAGGTTGATGTGCTAGTGCTTGCGATCGTTACTTCCCGTTTTGCACTTTGTCATACTTAGACCAGTCCATATACCTTGATACCTGGATGTGACATCTCTGACTCAGAGGTTGACGTGTAATGACCCTCCATCCTTCACGTCACGAGATGCCGTTACACGTTCTGTCATATCCACGAAAGTCCATGTTTTTATGTTGTCCATCCAAGTTACTCGTCTTCCCCTGGCTCTTCTGCCCCACATCCTTCCTTCAAGTAGCTCAAGCACCTCTTTTACAACGGTCTCGTGTCGTTTTATGTGGCCAAGTATTGTATTTTCCTAAATTTTATTTTATTCTGCAGGGTTTGTCTTGTGTGGAGAATTTGACACACCCCATTATTCGTCATTTTTTGCTTTCCAACTTATTCTGGACATTCTACGGTGGCAACACATTTCAAACGCAGCTATTTCGTCTTCTTCTTTCATTGTCAAAGTCCAGGTCTCAGCTCCATATCGGAATATGAGGAAGATGTCGCATTCCAGCTTTTTCTTTCCTAAGAAGAGACAGTTGCCTGTATTTGAAAAGTGTGTGCATTTGGCCAGTCCATGCCTTGTTATTATCAGTCCACATTGGGTTTTTTGTCCACCCACAAGTAAAAAAATAAGTATGATCAATTTTAGTATAACAGCATGGGCCAGGAACACAAGACAACAAGATAACGTAGAATTAAATCGACTTATACGGAAAGCATGTAAAGTTTCAACATCTACATTCCCCTACTTGGATGAATTGTACATAACAGCTTGCACAAAAAAAATTAATTCCAACTTTTTACACAACAAACATCCCTTGTTCCCTCAAATAAAAACATCAGTCAGAAGTAGAAGACCTAGGCTTCTCAACTGTACCAAAGAAAGATATAGAAGGTCGTTTTTACCCCCATCTAT